GCCCCCCCCCCCCATACCCCCCTCAATCAGCCGCATCCTAATACCGTTTTCGGAAAGAAAATGACGTGTATACGGAACCCGAACCCCTAAAGGGAATAAATACGAGATGGGAGGAAAATATATATTTCAATACCTTCTCTCGCAGTTATATCACTGGGTAAATATACTGTAGGCCTATATAAATTGCGGGCATCGGGGAGTCGATATTATGCCTGGCATTGAAACTGCTTTTGAGTGCATGATCGCTTTTTAGTTTCACTTTCTGTTTATATGGAGCTGCAGTACTTACCACACATTTTACAAGATTAGATGTTTTGTCAGTGGTGCTCAGTCATCTCTCCTACTTACTATGTTTATGTGGTAAGTGAAATTTTAAGTACTGTAAGGTAACAGGCAACCGTTAGCAAACGTTATTTGTTTTCCATGCCTTTCTGAATACGGATTCAAGCTTCGGGCACACCCCCCACCCGCTGAAAAATAACTGCATTTACTATGTACAGACAAGTGCAACGGTAACATATATTATGTTTATTTCAAAAATTCAGAAATTCAAAACGTACTATAATTATGCATTGCTGTCAATTTTAATAGTTATTTATTAATTACTTTACATATTACAAAACATGAAGCACTTCTTCTTCTTCGTCGTCTTGTCTGATGCACTCAACCAAGCGTTCTAACCACGACCTCGCCCCTCCCAACCTCCCAACCATTCGAATTTCCGTAAGCGGGAATTATTTTAATGATATTCTAATGGACCGCTTTGTGACATCACAAAACCCGGAAAACAACACTGTAGTCCAAACGAGCCGTTCGTTGTAGTTCTTGAAAAGGGATTTTTGAAAAACGAAATATCTCCCTTTGGAGTGGACTTTGAGATTTGTAACTTTGTAGATCTTTTTTATGCCCAAACATACATACTAAACACTGACTAAAATTCAAAAAGTGAAAGAGCATAATAGGATCCCTTTAAATAATTCAGCATTATAGGCTGTTGTCTGGCCTTATTTATTTTTTTAAATGACAAGTGAATTTGTGACTTCCTGCACTTGCTATATTTTAGACTTCAGTGCTATAAAGTACTAAAATTAGTTATAATATTTATTTTGTAATAAACCAAAAAGCAAGACGTGAAAAAACTATAGGGAGTTGAAATGGCAGCTGCAGTCAATGAGTGATCCTTTACTGCCATCTCCTGGTTATAACGGTAATTTCATTTTCATCTTAAATCTTTTTCGCCAAGAGTTTTTGCCACATTCCTTCATGTCGTCTTCATGAATGAAAAGTGAACCTTTAATAAAGTGATTTTTACTGCACAACTGTAAAGTTCAGAAATAATAAAGGCTTTAAAATTTTATAAGATTTTAAAAATGTGTTCATGGCTATTAAGGTAAGATATTGATTATCGAGAATACCATTACGATGTCGTTTAAGAGATTAGCCTAACCGCCTAAACAGTTATGATAGTGTTTATTTGTCAGCATTGTCTGGGTACTTTCCTGGGATTACCAGACTCGGCATATAAAATTATTTGTTCTTTAATAACATGAAACTGTATGTTAATTCCGCTATCATTATTTACGGTGTTGCAATTATTTTGTTTATCAGTTTCTCATAAGAATGAGGCAGGAGAGGTTTCTGTGAGAGTCTCTACCTATATATAGCACATATAAAACGAGCTTCACCGGAAGATTACGAGCTGGCTTATCTTTATCCGGAAGTTCTAAATAGCACTCTGTGCATATGGTCAATTGAGTGGTACAGCGTTGTTCAACAGTGTTCAGGCGGTTCAACGACACGGGTTCAAATCCAGAGCAAATCTGCTTTTTTCGAGATGTGTGTGTGTGTGTGTGTGTGTGTGTGTGTGTGTGTGTGTTCTGCAGTCAATCAGCACTTACAGTCCCATTGGCTCCAGATATATATGTTGCTGGTGTGTGTGTAGGAGTGTGCACAAGTGTGTGTGTTTCATACACACATGCCCAAACAATCAGTGCTTGCCACTGCAGTCCGACATCCCACAATTAACGCCGTGGAAACGCCTTCGATTTCCAATCCCGCTGCAGCTACCAGGCGAAAAACCTTTGCGACTGAAGACAAAATAATTTGCTGTTTGGAGCGGAGTTTGCGCTGACGCTGGGGTGAGGCTCCGGGAGCAGATATGACGCCCCTGCCTCACATATTTGGTTGAAATGTGATCCGGTCGAGCCCCTGATGGCTGGGGTGGAGATGTGTGTGTGTGTGTGTGTGTGTGTGTGTGTGTGTGTGTGTGTGTGTTCTGCAGTTCTAAAACATTGATTTAATGTTATACACAGCAATTGTTATGTTTACATAGGCAGAAACGTAATTTTTTGAGGTGCATGACGCCTTTTATTATGAAGTGAAAGGAATGACTAGCCATTCTTGCTTTGCGGAAACAAAGACTAGCAAAGTTAATTCGTAGTCGAGTTTGTGGTCAGCAGGAACAATAGCACAGATAAACTTGAATTATTATTAGAACTTTATTTTTTGTTTAATAATGCAGAAATGTGTGTGTATTCTGCAGTTGAAAACACACTGCTGAATGTTACACCATAATTATTTTTGTTTTAGATAGAACATGTCTATTTTACATTAAACAAAAAATAGCCTCCATCAGTGTGACTGAGGCTACGTTTACACGACAACGACGTAGTCAAAAACGGAAAAGTCTTTCCCTTGTGTTTTAAAAAAGTTTCACGTATACACTACAACGTTTTCAAAATGATCCGCGTTTACACATATCTGTGAAAACGGCCAAAAACGCTGTATTACATATGCTAGGCCAGTAGTTGGCGCTGTCACCTTGTCAGTAAACAGTACCTGTACTGAAGTGATGATTATATATTATATATGATGCGTCTCCACTGTTGGTTGTAATATTGGTTAAGTAAATCCACACTTTGCTGAAGAAGTGTTAGCAAACTCTTGAGCAGCAACAACAGTACCATGTACTCCACCAATGTTGTGTATGTTTGTTCGCGCTTGCCTTTAAAATCAACACGTACTCCTAATACATACATACAAAAAAAAAAAAACTAACACGTACTACGCACGCGCATGACGTCACCGTTTTCAAAGACTCCCGGGAAAAACAGGCAAGGCAGGACTATGACTAGATTATGAAACTAGAACAGGCTCTGTAGAGTAGCTATCACTATGAGAGTGATACACACTTACAATACTCGGCAGTCTGTAATTGTTTGAGTGTGGCTTATGTAGTGTATGTGATTGGTTTCAGGTGAGCGTGTGATTAGTGAAATGGCAGATGGGAAATGTAGTCCAAGGTAACGTGAAACAGTCTGTGTAGTGTGACTGTCAATATAATGGAAGGGTGACCTCTGATGGCAATCAGACGGAAGTCCACAGACCGGATTCGTGACACTAGTAAATACTATACATTTTGTTATGCTTATCATGTGTGGAAATATTTAAACCACGTGTGTTGCAACTAACCCTGCGTTACTTTGTGCCCAGCGCTCCCCTAATAGACATGAATGAAAAGACTCAAGTCTAATTTTGATTTAACTTTATTGAACTTAAGATATTTGTCCCGTAACATGTCCATATTTCTTCTAATTTCTTTAGATTATAGCTCATTCTACAGGACGTGAGGCTAGTATAGCAGAAAGTCCAATGGAAATTCTCATCAATGTGATTGACCAAAATGATAATAAGCCTGTGTTTACTCAATATCCTTTTAATGGACATGTTCATGAAGCTACTGGAAAAGGTACATGTATAGTGCATTTTCTTGGTAAAATGGCTTTTTTTTCTCATCAAATGCTTCTTGAACTTTTACCAGCTAATCAGTCTTTATTCTCTCATCAAAGATTATGAGTTTATGACAGTCACAGCCACTGATGCAGATGACCCAGAAACGTACAACGGTATAGTCAACTACGCAATTGTCAGCCAAGAGCCACCATTTCCAAAATCAAACATGTTTGATATCAACATTTTATCTGGAACCATTCGTGTGCGAGAACCAGACATGGACAGAGAGGTGAGAAGTGACATTTGATGAATCTCAAAGTGGTGATAAAATTACTTCATGTAAACAAACTCATCAGTTATCTTTTCAGCAATGGCCCAGATATACTTTGTTAATTGTGGCTGCTGACATGGAAGGAAAAGGTTCATCAACCACTGGTACAGCTGTTATTACAATTACTGACAGCAATGATAACCCACCTCAGTTTGAGCAAACTTCGGTAATATATATTTAAGTATTGAGAATGTTATGCTATAGTAATAATTGTTTGAACTGCTTAATACTTATCTACAATCACCATATATCTCTTTTTTTTAGCTCTCTGTATCTGTTCCAGAGAATAAAGTAGGGGCTGTAGTGGCCAAACTTACAGTTTCTGATGGAGATGAAGTTGGATCACCGGCCTGGTCAACCAAGTATCGGATTATTAGTGGTGACAAGGGTGGGTTTTTCAATGTCAGTACTGGACCCAGCCAGCTGGAGGGCATCATCACCACTGTAAAGGTACTGTGTGTTGCTCCTATGTTTGCCCAGACAATTGGTTGTGATGACATACCTTCGTAAAAGACACTTTCTTTTCCATTTAGCCCCTGGACTTTGAGAAGACCAAGCAGTACGTTTTGTCTGTGATTGTTGAGAACGATGATCCATGCATCAATTATTTTCCCACTTCCACTGCCACGGTCACAGTGAATGTAGAATATGTAAAGGAACCTCCAAAGGTAAAGGTTATTTCCAAACCTAAAGATTCAACGGTTGATACTGAATTGGTTACTTATACAGCCACTGATGACAGTTTATTTATTTTTTTACAGTACACTGTATCTGTCACTGAGAAGGAAGTGGGGACTGCTGTCAAAATGCATGTTACTGATGAAGATGATGCTGGATCACCTGCCTGGACTCCGAGAGTAACAAGCAATACATTCTGTTTGCGATGATTCATTTATAAAACCTTTGTCCATTTCTGCTGTGACGATGTAAAAAGGTTAAATCCACAATGTCTCATAAACAGTCTCTCTGAAGAATGTGAATGTGTCAGTATAATTCTTATTATTGTGTATAATTGATCTGGAAATTGATCTGGGGCCTGTACCATGATGGTAGCTTGGTAGTTACAGGATTAGTTTCGAGTTGACAAAACCAAACCACTCCAATCCAGCTTTGTTGGTACCATGATGCTGATCATCAACTTTTTTTTTTGTTCTTTTGTACTTCTAAAAACTGTACAATTGACAGCATTTTACTGTAAAATTACATGAAATGTCCGGTTAGATCTTTTACAGTTTTTTTCCCAGTATATAGTAAGGTAACTAACTGTTCACCTATTAGCAGTTTTTTTTCCGTAGCATTTTTACAATATTTTACAGTTAAAAATACACTAATTTTTACTACGTCAAAAAATTCTAACAATACTACCATACACTGTATATATGTTATACAGGTTGCTACTGTGAGGAGCACAGAGCGAGGAGACCAGGAGTACAAAACAAAGGCGTTTAATATTCTGCTTCAGGGAATCACACGTGGCACAAGAAGGAGGAATAAACAATTCCAGACAAACAAACTCAGAACAGGCTAGAACTAAATAGGGCAGATAACGAGGGGCAGACAGGTGAGGAGGATAACTAATAATGAGATACACCTGGAACAAATCAAACTACATTGGGACAGGAACAGGAAGGACCAAATAAGGCAAACAGGAACTCAATGGGAACACATGTGACAATATATACAGTATATATAGTTTTTTTTTAGGATGCTTCATTTTAAATATAATTTTGTCAAATCCAAATAAGCTTTACCAAACAATACAAATAGTCTTTATAAGAAAGTGTTTAAACGATGTTTTCATGCTTGTTTAATGAACTGTAAACAATTATTGCACATGCACCTGTGGAACAGACCTTAAGACACTTACGGTTTATAGGCGAAAGAAAATTAATGTTGCGGTTCCAATAACACCAGGAGAAGGATGCTCAGAGTCCCTGATGAGTTGCATGGTGCTGGGCTGTGAGCACAGGTCCCACTACAGGATATCAGGCCTTCATGCCACCCTTATGGAGTCTGTTTCTGACAGTTTGGTCAGAAATATGCATACCACTAGCCTGCTTGAGGTCATTTTGGAGGGCTCTGGCAGTGACTTTTTTCTTCTTTTTTCAAATGTTTAGATATTTTTAAATTATTTTAATCATTTCTTACTCATTGTCATGGATCACAATATATTACAGGCCATAAGAATATAATATTTTCTGTTAAAAGTGTCTTATATAGCTGAAAATCATGGTTTCTTTTTGTCCGGAATAGTGTATTTTTTCCATCATGTATCATTGTGTAATCTATTTATAAAAGCCCTAAATAGTTATTTTTCAAAAATAATGAAATTTATTTTTAAAATCTCATAAATATTATTGATGTATTTTTGCACCCTTATAATATTGCAACAACATTTGTCTGTAACAGAGTTGACAAATAATACTATAAAGAAAAAATCTGTCAAAAAAAAAAAAAGGAAGTTACTTGTGTTTGGCAAGCACTGAATTGTTAAAATTGAAAATGTTTTCAATAAGATACTGGAAAGAATTTCTGTTAATGAACAGATTTTCTGTTTTGAAATGCTACATGTATCTCCAATTATAGAATCACCTGCATGCTCTTGAAACTGTCCTGGGAGACACACCAAACCTGATTGGGTTGCAGCTACTGCCTCATGGCACAAGTAGTGACAAGGACCCTAACAAAACAAAACTAGAGACAAAAACCATTCCTTTTGGGGGCGGGGTTGTCTTGCTTTTGCCTCTGTCACTTTCTTTTGCACCAAAACCATAAATCACTTACTAACTGGACAGAGAGATATCTCTGAAGTTTAACTGACTTGGTGCTATACTGCGATGACGAAGTGTTCCCTCATTTTTTTCTGTACACGCAAATATATTTTGCAACTGCAAAATCAAAGTCAATGTGAGATTCATTCTGCCACAGCATTACGTCTTCATGATGGGTCTGGCCACAGGACTTGGTCCACATGACAGGCAATCGCTGCATCCGAATCTGCATACTTCCCTACTATATAGGTCAAAAAGCAGTAGGTGAACGAATAAGTACAGCGGGTAAAATAAGTATTGAACACATCACCATTTTTCCCAGTAAATATATTTCTAAAGGTGCTGTTGACATTAAATTTTCACCAGATGTCAGTAACAACCTACGCAATCCATACATACAAAGAAAACAAAACAAATAGAAATTAAGTTATGTGTAATAAAATGGAATGGCACAGGGAAAAAATATTGAACTTCTGACATTTATTTGTATTTTTAATGCATTTTTAATAAATTTATTTTTAATGCTTTGTACAAAAGCCTATGTTGGTAATGACAGCTTCAAGACACCTCCTGTATGGAGAAACTTGTTGCGTGCATTGCTCAGGTGTGATTTTGACCCATTCTTACACAGAGTCTTCAAATCTTGAAGGTTCTTTGGGCCTCTTCTATGAACTCTGATCTTTAGTTCTTATTTTCTATTGGATCCAAGTCAGGTGATTGGCTGGGTCATTCTAGCAGCTTTATTTTCTCTCTCTAAAACCAATTGAGAGTTTCCTTGGCTGTGTTTGGGATCATTGTCTTGCTGAAATGTCCACCTTTTTTTCATCTTCAAGTCAACATTTTTCATTTACTGGGAAAAATGGTGATGTGTTCAATATGTATTTTACCCGCTGTATGTCCGAATCCTCAACATTCATAAAAGAGTATGGCAAGAATTACCTGGGTGGCGTACTAATTATTGTAAGATTTGGTCGTGCGTATACCAAAGTTGTGTCCGCCTACTTGCCTACTATATAGTAGGAGAAAACAGTACCTAAAAAGCATGCATGCCCTAGTGCTTCAGCCCAGATTCTGAAGTGCTCATCCGGTGGATACTTTTCTATCCCAGGAGACCACGGACAGAACAGTGACGAGGGTGTTTTTAAATGTGAGTATTAGAAACCAAAAACATGGATCCTTGTTTTAAAGGGGTCATCGGATGCCCATTTTCCACAAGTTGATATGATTCTTTAGGGTCTTAATGAAAAGTCTGTAACATACTTTGGTTAAAATTTCTCAATGGTAGTGTAAAACAACACCATTTTTACCCTGTCAAAAACAGCTCTGTTTACAGCGACCTGTTTCAGTGCATGTCCCTTTAAATGCTAATGAGCTATGCTCACCCTGCCCCTCTCTTCCATAGGGTGACGAGCCATTCTCTGAGAGGCTCTTAACTTTAGCCACATTCATTGTGAAACTTGCTAACTAGCACATTGTAACCCAGGTTACCAGTAGCATTAAAACATAATTAAATGAGATAAATAAGATATGTTTTTTCTCTTTTCTATTTTATGTATTTTATATTGTTTTAATGGGCATTTAAATAGACAATTGAATTATTTTGTATTGGGAAGACTGACCAATGAGGATTTAGTGTGTTGTATAGCGTATTTTCAGTTTCCGGATCTTGCACGAGGTTAGGAGCTCACGATCTCTCTGATCGGCGGAGCGGGATGGACCATCGCTGAGGGTCAGGGGGGGGACGGTCGCACCGGAAGATCGTCACCGGAGGGCTGCACGAGTGATGGCGGCAAACGCAGCGAAATCAATAATGACAAAAAATAGAAGTCGTCGTAATGGAATTGGACCAGAGACACTAGATAGTATCGATGAAACAGATAAGGAGGATGACCAAATGGAGTCAGGAAGGACAGAAGAAGAAGAGGGTAATAGAGATAGGAAGGAGGGTGTGGGTACTTGAATTATTTTGTATTGGGAAGACTGACCAATGAGGATTTAGTGTGTTGTATAGCGTATTTTCAGTTTCCGGATCTTGCACGAGGTTAGGAGCTCACGATCTCTCTGATCGGCGGAGCGGGATGGACCATCGCTGAGGGTCAGGGGGGGGACGGTCGCACCGGAAGATCGTCACCGGAGGGCTGCACGAGTGATGGCGGCAAACGCAGCGAAATCAATAATGACAAAAAATAGAAGTCGTCGTAATGGAATTGGACCAGAGACACTAGATAGTATCGATGAAACAGATAAGGAGGATGACCAAATGGAGTCAGGAAGGACAGAAGAAGAAGAGGGTAATAGAGATAGGAAGGAGGGTGTGGGTACAAAGAAAAGAAAGAAAAAACAGCAGGAAAGAGAGGTAAGAAGTTCGGAGGAGAGTGGAAATGAACAGGAAATAAGGAATGGAAATCTGGATGAGTTAAATGTAATTTTGATATTTAAAGCGGAAGGTGGAATACAAAAGGTAAGTCCAATTGCATTAACTAAAGATTTGAGTAAAGTAGTTGGAGAGATTAAGCTTGCAAGAGTGTTACAAAACGGAGATTTGATGATAGTTTGTAACAATGAAGAACAAAAGAGGAAAGTGATGGGAATCAAAGTAATATGTAAGAAAGAAATGGTGAGTAGTAAAATTGGAGGACAGAGGTAGTGGGTAAGTGGAGTGATAACTGGAGTGCCATTAGATGTGTCTATGGAAGAGCTTAAAAACAATGTAAACGGAGGGCAAATAGTTTGTGCTAGGAGATTGTTTATGACTACAGAAGGGAATAGAATGGAGAGTCTTTCAGTTGAGCTCAGATTTGATGGAGATGTTTTGCCGGATAAGGTCAAACTCGGATTTATTAGTTACACAGTTAGGCCTTTCGTGCCTCCTCCTTTAAAGTGCTATAATTGTCAAAAATATGGACATGTGGCTATGGTGTGTAAGTCCAGGAAAAGATGCACAAGATGTGGGGGGGAGCATGATTATAGAAAATGTGAAGGAGCAGGGATTAGGTGTTGCAACTGTGGAAGAGGTCACAGCGTAGCGTTTGGGGGATGTGAGGTGAGGAAAAGAGCTATTGAAGTGCAGAAGGAGAAAGCTAAGAAGAACATAACATATGCAGAAGCTGTTAAAGTGGTTGATGCAAGGAAAAAAGAGAAAGTGAAAGACGCGCAGCAGGAGGATAGGAACGAGGTTCAGAGTTG